AAAATCAAACCAGTAATAAAAAAAACCTCCCCCCATACAAAAGTCCTGGACGAGATGTCTTCCCAGGTGAATTTTACCAAACATCCAAATAAGAATTAATGCCTATCCTTCTCATCCCATTCCAAAAAACTCAAGAGGACTCGTTTATGGGTCTCCCATTACTCTGATTGCAAAGCCAGACAAAGATATTACAAAAAAAGTAAATTATAGGCTGATATCCCTGAAATTGGTAATGAAATAGTCATAAGGATGTACAGCAAAGGGAATATAGTCAATAATATGGTAATAGCTATGTATAGTGCCAGGTGGATACTAGACTAGTTAGGGGGTTCACTTCTTAAATTATATAAATGTCTAACCACTATGCTATACACCTGAAACTAATATAAAATAATACTGAATGTCAACTGTAATTGAAAAATTTAAAAAGGGGTGAAAAAGGTGAAGGGGAATAAGAGGTTCAAATTTCCAGATATAAAACAAATAAGTCATGGGAATGTAATGTACAGCATAGGGAATATAGTCAATAATATTGTGATAGCGTAGTACAGTGTCAGATGGTTGCTGGACTTATCATGGTGATCACTTCTTTAGGTATATAAATGCTGAATAACTGTGGTGTACACCTGAAACTAATATAATATTTTATGTTAGCTATATTTTAATAAAATTCTTCCAAAAATGTATAAACATACTTGCTTCCCTTTATGTCCTCACCAGTATTGAATGTGGACAAATGGTTTAGCTACTGCCAAGCTCATTAATGAAAAAAATTTTCTTGCCTTTAAAACTTGCATTTTAAAAGCATTAGTGACTTTGATCAATTTTTCATATATTTATTGGCCATTGTATATTTTATGTTGTGAGTAGGTTTAATCCATATAGAAATTCTGCATGTGGAAAAATGGCTTTCCATATCTACAGAAGAAATGATGGCTTATTCAATAATTGGATATTGATACTCTTTGTCAATACCATATTTGTTGATTTTTTTATCAATACTACTTATTGATACTGTTGAAGAGGAGGGAAATTTGGATTTTTATCTTATTTCTTAAACTAAAATTCGAAGTAAAGCCAACATGTAAATGTAAAAACTAAACCAGAGAAACACTAATAGAAGTGCCAGACATCTAAATATAAATGTGAAAAGATGATTCATAGTAAGGTGAAGAAACTATTTAAAAGAAGACCATCTAAGGAATATGCCATACAAATATCTCAATGTAATTTCTTATACTAAGTTAGATCTTATGCTTGGATCATGTTAACTTATCCTTTATAATATAGTGCTTCAATAAATGCTTTCATTAAGATCTCTGTTAAAAAACTGGCACATATAGGAACTTCTTGTATTTTAAATGATTCTTGAAGATACTATATAATTTAATGCCTCCTTATATAGAACAGGTTCCATATGATGAATTCCTTTTAGAATTGAGCAGCAGTGAAGAGTCCGATTCTTTGGAACTTGTCCCTTAGATGATACAAAATATGCTACTTAGGACTTTAGTTTTGACTTAGTGGCTAGGAAGCTCAGCTGTAAATTTAATGTTTTATTAATGAACACATTTTCTTCCTCTTCATCTTTAATACCATTATTTTCTGTTCCAGTATTTTACTGTATACACGTATATAATGAAATCATGATTCAAATCCATTTGGAAGCAGATGTTATATAATAATAAAATTCAAGATCCCTTTTAGCAACAAAGAGGAGGAACACTAATACATTAGGGAACTAATGCTATGCTGGGTCTAGAAGGGGGCAAGTGGAACTGAGAGCAACATGCATGTTATGAAGGAAAAGTGTAGAGGCAAATCCTTGTATACTTTGGTGATCAGAGTCTTATTCCTACCACAATTACTGTAACAACAGCACCCAAACTGCAGCTAGAAAAAAAAAATGGAGATTTAAATTTCCTTACTTCCAAAACGACTGTGTCTCCCTAGAAACACCTTCCTGCTGAGAAGTGAGCAGCAATTGAGAAGAACTTGCCTGCTGCTTCCGCTTACTATCTCCTCACTTTACTATTGGTTGGGTGACATCTTAGACATCTATAGTTTGGCTATACATAAAGAACTTCGACAGGAAGATGCTGTGAAGAACTGAATTTGAATCATCACAACTGTCAAAAAGAAGAAAACTCCAGTTACACACATCTAAACACTTTCCCCCCTGAATAATAAGAAAAGAAACAAATGCTGTTACATAGATGCATAATTACATAATACCCTAAATCATAAACTACACTATTCTCCCCAAAAAAACCCATAAAAATATTATGCTCTCAATAAAAGATTATATAGTTAGTGGCCTTGTTAATTAAAATAAAAATTTTTACTTATTCTTAATTATTTCTTATAAATGAACATTATAGACACTTAGATTTTACCTCTTTCAATATCATCCATTGGAGATGTTGGGGACATTTTGTCTTCGGATGGAGACTGTTTTACAAAATTAGGAGTCCTAGTTAAATTCCGCATTTGTTGCTGCTGTTGCTCTACACGAGGCTGAACTTTACTGCTTCCTTCAACTCTGCAATTAAGAATATCAAAAGTCAAAATAGGTATGATGGCAATGTAACAACAATTTCAACTTACACATTTACTAAAATTGACCACTTATTCTTTTCCCTAGACAACCTTAAAATGATATTCAAGAACTAAACCATTAATTTAATTCATTATTTAACAAAATTTATTGAGCCCTCTTTATATGCATGGCATGTACACACATCCATTGAGGGATACAAATATGAGTAAAAAAAAAACACTGCTCAAAATTAAAGAGGTAAGACATACACGGATGCTTAAAATAAAAAAATATATGGAAGCATATAATACATATGTGTTCCCTAAATTCTAAAATTATCATTTCTGTCAAAATTAAGTCACTTCCACATTTTTCATTCATAACTTTAAAACATGTTACTAACGAAGATCCATGTATTTTCAATACTTTTGAAAAAAGAGTATAATTAAAAAAATGTGTATTTCATAATAAAAAAAAATAAAAACTTAAAAAAAGATTTAAAAAAAAGAGTATAAAACACAATTATGCTTGACTTCTGCCTCTCCCATTTCTAGTCACCAAATCCTGTCAGTTCTTCCTTCACAAAGTATTTAGCACCTCACTTTTTTCTTCATTCCTGCTCTCAAAAAATGTGTTTTTTGCATTTTTCTGTTTCCCATGTTGTTTCATTTTACTCCGTTTGTTTGGTGGATTAAAGTTTTAAAATATTACAGAATTGTACATCTTAAATCTATGTAAGTTTGCTAACAATTGTCACCCCGATAAACTCTAATTTAAAAAAATTTAATCCCTAGTTTAAAAAATTTAATATATAACTACTGACAATAAGACAATGTCCTAATTTCATAGTTAATATTGAAGGCATTAGCTTCAACCTTCCTTTATGACATTACCTCTAATCCACTATCAACCTCACTCCTCACTTTCCAATACTTGTTTATATACACACAGAGATAAATCTCTGCCCTATTCAAATGGGTCTTATTCACTGGCCCCAAATAAGTCAGAAATATTCCTGCTTTCAAACCTTGCTTACATCCTCACGTTCTCTCTCATCCATTAAATCAGTATTTTCCAAACCTTCCTACTAATAAACATTATGTGCACGGCAGGGAAAATGAAAAATAGAGCTTCCCAGGCTTCTTCTTAATCTGAAGTTAGATTTGGAAACTCATATATTTAACAAGCACTGAAGATAATTCTTATCAACAAGTATGTTCGGGGGGAAGAAAAACCCTAAATCTTAAACTCCTCTCAAGGTCATCAATAAAGGCTACCTGAATGCTCCAATAAACCATAACCTCTCCCTTCCTTTAATTTCCTAGAGCAATTTTTGTCTACACTATTTGTATAGCTTTTTTTTTTTTTAAGATTTTTATTGGGGAATTGGGGGGATGGGAACAGTGCTGGGGAACTGGGGGAAGGGGAACAGACAAGTTGCTGTCGCTCACTGCGGCTGCTGGCCGCTCACGCTGGCTGCTGGCTACACACGGTAGCCCATGGCAACCCACTGCCACAGGGGCTGCAGCCCACGCCGCCGTCGCCAGTGACTCACGGCAGCCCAGCTCCAGGTTGAGCTGCATCTCAGCTGAGGAGGGCAGCATCACTGGCCCTCACACGTGGGATCCGAACCGGGGCCCTCCGGCATCCCAAGCCAGCTCCCAACCATCACGCCACTCTGCCGGCCCTTGTATAGCTTTTAAAGCAAGTCCCTTATGTTACATGGTAATTAATGTACCTGCTTGTTTCCAAAAATGGATTTGAGATAGCTATATTCTCTTGACTTTTCTAATGGAATTATATGTTAATCCATTTAAAATGCAGAAATTTTGAGGTTAGTATTTATATAGAAAACTCTCCTTTTCCTAGTGCCTTATATATTCTAGGTGCTTAATAAACTTTTACTAATGAAGGTGAAATTATTTTGAAGAGTGTATAATGGCTCCTTTCCATTCAGTTCTTTGTAAGCATCTACAATAGAATAAGGTATATTTGCACATATATCTGCACAAGCTTTTATATATCACAGGGAGAAAAGGTACAAGCTTGTGGCTAAGGCTCTCCACCAAATTAAAACTTGGAAAATATTCAAACATTTTTGTACAACACAGAAATAACCCTCATATAATAACTGACTTAATCCAATAACTTTTTTCACTGATATTTCCTTAACAATTTATGTGCTGATAAAATAATTTATTCAGTTAACCACATACCTTGTTTTTTTTACAGTGATGTTGCTGCTGAGTTTTTCTAGTCGACATTCTCCAGTATCATGGTTAATAATCAAAATGCATTCTTTTAAGTAAGGTTTCTTTGAACCTTTGAAAACAGTTACTGGTGGAGTTGATCCCTGTTTAAAAAGTTAATTATCATTACTTGAAATTTATAATGGAAATTTGGTTGGGAGGGACTTTGAGATCTGTGTTTCGCAATCTATGTTATACTTCAAGTCACCTAACTACTTAAATTTACTGCTCTGACAATAAGAAGGGTAGTAAAAATGTCAGAGATGAAGAGAGGCTGAGATCTTTAGGCAGTCATCATTGAGGAAAGTACTTGCCCTGAACCAATAAAGATTTGTTTCATTGGTCTACAACAGGCAACTGGGGTTCAATTCTTTTTCTTTTTTAAATGCTTATTAAATTTATTGGTTAGTAAAATTATATAGGTTTCAAGTGTACACTTCTATAGTACATCATCTATATATTGCATTGGGATTCAATTCTAATACAATCAATGTATTGTACAGATAAGGGAACAGAAGCCGTGAACCATATTTCCTACCCCTCCTCTCCTTTCTTCATAAGTTTAGTTTTTTAAATCTGGTCTTTTCTTAAAGTGGTGATTCCCTATGCAAATCAAGGAAAATGAATATATCAAGGAACAGGACCTGTCACACTAAACCCACTGATTAAGTTTAAGGACTGTATGCAGGGCAGAAAAAAATATGCTTGTTCTTGACAGGTGGTAAATTTAACAATTCTTTCATTCTAGCTGTCTAAAACAGTTATATATAGGATAAAGTTCACATACTTTGCATTACACGTTAGATCTTTTACTATCTGATTTCTAAGTACCTTTCCAGCCTACTATGTCCCCACATCGACCCCTTGTGACTTAGCCATAGTGGCTTATACATAGTTCTTCAAATGTAACAGGCTCTTCTGTTGCTTTGTCTTAGCCTATGTCTTTTTCTTTTCTCTGCCTAAAATGTCCTTTCCTCTTTCCTTCAACTAGGCAACCTCAACTCATTTTGAAAACAGGGTATCCTGATGTCTCTCCTCCCTCCCTCGGCTGAGTTACCTCTCTTTTGTGCTCTCATAATATTCTATATATACCTTTATGATAGTCCTTACAGTTCCATATTTTAATCCATTATTTCCTGTGTTCCTCATTAAACGGCATATTTTTTAAGACACTGACCTATATATCCCAATAGTTAACTAGTGTAGGACTTATCATGCAGAAGGTACATGTATATATGGTCTGCCTGTCCATTTGCCTCTCCCTCTTTTTCTTTCTCATGCACACATATACACACACAAAAACACTGAGGCATATTCTTTTTGGACATATCTCTGGTGGGGTGGGTGGGGAGTCACTTTTTCCCAGATGATTTCTTTGCTGTTTCAGAAATTTACAATTTGAAGGCTTAAAAACTTCCTCCTATAGTTGTCATTCCTTTAAGAGGTATTTCAATTGAGACCATAACCAAACACAAGGTGAATGGTAACTCTTGATTAAACAGGATCTCTGTGAATGAAAAAGGTTTATTAACAAATGTAAGACTACCCACCTGGTTAGAGTAAAAAAGCAATACAAAGAATGAGGATCGAAGGATTGCAGTTTGAGAAAACAATATTCTATATGGCAAAGAAGAGCCCAACTAAAGTTTTTCTTCCAACCAATCAGCACTGATCAATAATCCTATAATCTGAAACCAGGCTAGTGGTGCTTATTATCAACTGAAGGTTTTTCAACAACTTTTAAAATTAAGTTAATGGTTTAGGTCTTTCTTTCATAAGTATCATAAGACAAAAAAGACTTACATTATTGACTGCTAGATTTCCAAACTATTTTAGGGATGTCAGAATCTGAACATTTTCATAACAGAATAATACAAAGAAAGTAATACAAATCCACAATGACTCACACTGAATTGATTTTTCATTTCCTTCAGTTTCTAATGGAGCAAATGAGAAATGTACAATAAAAAGCCTACACAAATTTAATATACCTTAGGAAAACATTCAGAGGCATCAGCTGATACAGTCTGACATAATAGTGGGGTCTCAATAGTCTTGACTGATAAAAATAAGAAAAAGGTATGAGACTAGAAGATAGAGAGCTTGCTTTCAATACTTCAAACCATGATAAGCCATCTCATATATGCATATATTATTACAAAAATTAAACAAAACCAAAACAATCTCAGGAAGTCCAGTGTTTTCTTTACATGTTAAAATTACAGTCTTGGCTTTCTCTGAGAATAGATCAAGTCAATATAAAAACAAAAAAATATTTAAGTTGAATGCTAAGAAATTTCTAACTCACATCTTTATCTAATCATCTATTGAAGGACATTTTGGTTGTTTCCATGTCTTGGCCTCTGCAGTGAACATAGGGGTACATATATCTTTACGGATAAATGTTTTCAGATATTTTGGGTAGATATACACAATGTAGTACTATTCGGCCATAAGAAAAGATGAAATACTGCCATTTGTAACAACATGGATGGAGCTTGAGATTATCATGCTAAGCGAAATAAGTCAGACAGAAAAAATCAAGAACAATGACTTCACTCATAAGTTGGATATAAAACTGAAAGCAACAAATGAACAAGAGAAACAAAGAAACAAAAACTCATAGACACAGACAACAGTTTAGTGGTTACCAGAGGGTAAGGGGGGAAGGGGAATGGTAGAAGAGGATTAAAGGGGTCAAATATATAGTGATAGAAGGAGAACTTATTCTGGGTGGTGAACACACAATGCAATATATAGATGATGTATTATAGAATTGTACACTTGAAACCTATATAATTTTACTAACCAATATCACCTGAATAAATTTAATAAAAATTTTAAAAAAAGAAATTTCTAACTCAAGGACTGAGAAAACTAGAGCATACAAAAAAGAACTTGTATATTTAAATAGTATTTGATAGTGTTACTTGGCTACATCTGGAAATTGGAAAACAGACAAAATTTTAAACTTTTGGTTAAGGTCTTCCTGACCTTATTGCCTTTCTTTTGTAACTCATTCCCTAAACTATTGCTAAAATCAATCTAAAAGCACAAATCTATTTATGTTAGCCCTCGACTTAAAAACCTCTAATGGTTCTCCAATACCTATGGAATAAAGTCCAAATTCTACATTCCAACATAAAAGATTCTTCACAATCTGATTCCAACCTACCTTTCTATTGATAGTTTCTTCTCCTATCAATCATTTTTCATTAATTTGTAATTTACTATATTAAATCAGTTATTCCACAAACTTATTGTTTTTTCTCCATTAGTCTTTCACATGATGTTTCTTCTGCTTCTGCTTAGAATATTCTACTCCCTTTCTACCTCACAAAATTCTACTTGTCCTTTAAAGCTCAACTTAAAGAACATCTGTTTTGGAATCCTTTCAAGATTCCACTTGGCAGAGTATTTGATTCCACTTATGTGCTTGCACAGAATTTTGTACATGCTCTAACTTACAGCACTAGATGTTTATATGTCTGTCTGCTATTACAGATTAGGACTGGAAGGCAGGGGATATGTTATTATTCCTAGTTCAGACTACAAAATCTGGCTCATAAAAGTAATTTAATAAATATTTGTTAGACTTCCAATTGTTTCAAACCATTTGATACAACTCCTGAAACTTATTAATTAAAGTATTTTAAGGCTGTTTTACCTAAAATAATGTTTTTTGTTTTCTGTGTTTAACTGATTGTCACTACATAAATTGTGCAATTATTTTCATTTAAATTTAGTGGAAATCTTACAAAAACATTCTTTTAGTCTAAATATGTAAATACTCACTTCTATATTTGGCAGAGTTATTGTCACCTGTTCACCTTTGCCGACCTCAAGCTCTCCTTCACAAGAAGTATCAACAGAAGCAGGTTTGAAGTCATCTAAAAATAGATACAGATACAGATTTTTATAAGATGGAATCACACCTAAATAACTGGATAGCAAAAATATGAGCATGTTTCAGAGTGATAAATAATTTTTTAACAACCAGTTTTTAAATTGGTTTAGAAAAGTCTTTATATTACAAATAAACAGACAAAATATGATCCAGTTTATTTCTGTATGTATAATTCTCAGAAAAAAAATAGTTATACTCTGAAGCAGTATTCCTTAAAACATGCTCCCTAGAATCCTGTTTAGATCAAGATGAACTAGACTAAGATGTTCTACTGCCAAAAACTAAATAATGTCAATGTTTTCACAATTTGCTAATAACTGGTATCAGTAGAATATTTTCAATTTTCAGTCTTTTTCTACCATACATTTTACTTTAACCCACCTTGGGTGCCTACTACCACTTCTCTGCTGTCCTAGCAGAAGACAAAATGAATGAATACATGGCAACTGCACATTCATAGGGAAACTTAATAAAAAGCAATCTGATATAGTTTAACAGCTTGAGCTTTTCATGGCTACATACACCACTTAAAAATGTGTAAACTTAACCAAATCTGTCACTTCAGAACTTAAAACAAGTTTTCATTTTGAGTTAAATCATAATACAAATGATGTAATTAAAATAGATCACCTGGAAAGAATTTAGGGTGCTAAGATATTTCACATGCTGAACAAGCTTAAAAACCTCTAAGATATAAAAGCCACTTAAAAATAATTCACAGCAAGGGAGAAGGTCCAACTTGGTGGAATAGGTAAATGTGCCTGCAACCTCCCAGGATCACATAAAAATTACAATTAAATTATTGAACAGTCAACCTCAAGAATCATCTGAAGACTAGCTGAACAGAACCCCTATAACTAAGGATATAAGGAAGAGGCCACATAGAAACTAGTAGGAGGGGAGGACACCAAAACGGGCTGACCCCAAACCCACAGGTGGTGGTCAGGCACCAGGAGTGACATCTCGGTGGTAGAGGTCCCCCTGAAGAGTGAGGGGTCCCAGCCCCACAGCTAGCTCCCCAACCCAGGAGACCTATGCTGGGAGGAAGAGTCCCAACAGCATCTCATAGTGTAAATGTGTAAGGATTCTGTCTGTCTATCCTGGTAAAAAGGAAGGTGCCTGGAAACCCAGACATCCTTTTAAACAGCCTGCACACAGACTCATTCACTTGTGAGCACTTCCCCTGTTCATGTTATTTAGCTTCCATGTGTTTATGTGTTTTTCTGGTTTTTGTCTTGTAATTGATTTCTAGCTTCATACCACTGTGGTCAGAGAAGATGCTTGACATGATTTCAGATATAAATTTCTTAAATTTATTGAGACTTGTTTTGTGGCCTAACATGTAGTTTATCTTGGGAAATGTTCCATGGGCATCTCAAAAGAGTGAATGTTCTGCTGCTTTGGGGTGAAATGCTCTAAAAATATCAATTAAAGCCATCTGGTCTAGTGTGTCCTCAAAGGCTGCTGTTTCCGTGTTTTCTGTCTGGAAGATCTGTTCATTGGTGTCAATGGGGTGTTAAAGTCCCCTACTATGATTGTGTTACTGTCAATCTATGCTTTTATGTTGGTCAATATTTTTTTATATGTTTAGGGGCTCCTATGTTGGGTGCATAGGTGTTTACTGGGGTTATGTCCTCTTTTTGGATTTATCTCTTTATCATTATGTAATGTCCTCCTTTGTCTCTTGTTATAGTCTTCATTTTAGTCTATTTTGTCCGATATAAATATTGCTACTCCAGCATTTTTTTTATTTGTATTTGTGTGACGTATCGTTTTCTAATCCTTTATCTTCAGTTATGTGTATATTTCAATTTGAGATGTGTGTCTTGTAGATAACATATGCATGGGTCTTGTTTTCTGATCCATTCAGCTACCCTATGTCTTTTGATTGGAGCATTTAATCCATTTACATTTAAGTGATTATCAATAGGTACATAGTTATTGCCATTTTATTTATATTTTTGTTCTTTTGTTTGTTTGTTTTCCCCCTTTTTCTACTGAATGTAACATTTATTGTAACACTGGCTTTGTGTTAATGAACTCCTTCAGCTTTTTCATGTCTGGGAAGCTCTTTCTCTCTCCTTCAATTTAAATAACAGCCTTACTGGGTAGAGTAATCTTGGTTGTAGGCCCTTGTATTTCCTCACTTTGACTATTTCCTGCCACTCCCTTCTGGCCTGCAAATTTTCTTTGGAGAAATCAGGTTATAACCTTATGGGAGCTCTCTTGTAAGTAACTAGTTGTCTTTCTCTTTCTACTTTTAGGATTCTCTCTTTGTCTTTAACCTTTGGCATTTTAATTGTAATGTGTCTTGGTATGGGCCTGTTTGAGTTTATCTTGTTTGGGACTCTGCACTTCCTGTCTTTGTATATCTATTTCCCTCACCAGGTTAGGGAAATTTTTAGTCATTATTTCTTCAAATATGTTTCTAATCCCTTGCTGCCTCTCTTCTCCTTCTGGTGCTCCTTTGATATGAATGTTGTTACTCTTGTTGTTGTCCAAAGGTTAAACTATATTCATTATTTTAACTCTTTTTTCCTTTTGCTGCTCTGATTAGATGTTTTCTGCAACCTTGTAATTGCTGATTTGATCCTCTATTTCATCTAATCTGCTATTGATTCCTTCTAGTGTATTCTTCACTTCAGTTATTGTACTTTATTTCTGACTGGATCTTTTTTATAGTTTCTATGTCTTTCTTTATGCTTACTATCTCTTGTTGAATTCTCGCTAAGTTCCTTAAGCATTCTTATAACCAGTGTTTTAAACTCTGTCTCTGGTAGGTTGGTTGCCTCCATTTCATTTAGTTCTATTTCCGGAGGTTTCTCCTGTTCTTTAATTTGGGACATGTTTCTTTGTTTTCTCATTCTGGCTGCCTCTCTGTGTTTGTTTCTATGTATTAGGTAGATCTCCTATGTCTCTCAGTCTTTGCTGGGTGACCTTATGTAGTAGGTGTCCCATGTGATCCAGTCGCACATCTTCCTGATCACATGTGCATGTGTTCCCGAAGTGTTCCTTGTGTGTGTTTTGTGTATTTACTGTCGCAGTTGATCCTTGATTGCTTTTGGTTTATCAGTGGGTGGGTTTGACTCTACGGCTAACTGGCTGTGAGGATTGGCTATACATGCACCCTTTAGGTGTGTCGCTTGTGGGGCTAATCAGGTAGTACTCTGTTGTGGTCTGAAGCTGGCCTCTGGGTGTGTTGTTTCTGGTGCCTCTTGGGAGACGCTCCCATGCACTCAAATTTCAGCCTTGCCTGTGACCAGCCCGGAGCTACCTAGTAGGATCTACAAAACTATAAGCAGTTGGTTGCCATCACTGTTGAACATGTAGGTGTGTGGGAGTTGCCATGCTGTGAACAGAGGCCAGCTGTCACCAGGATAGGCCTGGGGCAGCTTAGCCAAAGATCCAATTCCCCCCAGGCCTGTTACCACCAGCTGGCCCAGCCACTTAAAGAACCTTCTTAGGTGTGTGGGCCAGGCTTTTTTACCTGGTGGTGTCAGTGCTCCCAGTGATGCCACCTGAATTGGGCAGGGTGGGGGCTCTTGGGAGTCACGGAATGTGGCTCGTGGTTTTTACAAAGTTAATACAGATTCAGTTCTTATGCCAGTACTGAGCCTGTGGCCACTCCACAAAATCCCCCCAGATTCCCCTCGCTAGCCACTGCACAGCAAGGGCCCACAGATCCCTGCCAGCTGCCCAAAAAAGGCTGCAGCAAAAATTTGGGCTTACCGCTCGCTACCAAAAGTTTCCCAATCCACTGCTGGCCAAGCACTGCTGTAGGAGCCTCCCGCAGTTTATGGGAGCAGGGCTGGCCTCTCAGGAGCTTAGAGTCTCCCAGACAATGCCACACTGGCTAGACAGGCAGGGTTCAAGGTAGTTGCCAAGATGGCACATGAATGGATTTTACCAGACCAATGCAGTCTCAGATTTGGCCCTGTGGGAGTAGTTTTAACACAGGAAAGATGGGACCCTCCTGTAGGCCACATGTGAAGCAGGATCCACATAGGGACAGTGGCAGCTGTCCCTCCAGCCCTTGTCCTGAAGCCACACAACTCAGGTTTTTTCCCCTGTATGTCTCTGGCATCTCTCCAGTTGCTGCCCCTCCCTCGGAGCCCAGCGTAAGTGCTCACAAATGAATGAGGCTGTGTGCAGGCTGTTTAAAAGGATGTCTGGGTTTCCTTTTTACCAGGATGGACAGACAGAATCCTTACACATTTACACTATGAGATGCTGTTGGGACTCTTCCTCCCAGCATAGGTCTCCTGGGTTGGGGAGCTAGCTGTGGGGCTGGGACCCCTCACTCTTCAGGGGGACCTCTACCACCGAGATGTCACTCCTGGTGCCTGACCACCACCTGTGGGTTTGGGGTCAGCCCGTTTTGGTGTCCTCCCCTCCTACTAGTTTCTATGTGGCCTCTTCCTTATATCCTTAGTTATAGGGGTTCTGTTCAGCTAGTCTTCAGATGATTCTTGAGGTTGACTGTTCAATAATTTAATTGTAATTTTTATGTGATCCTGGGAGGTTGCAGGCACATTTACCTATTCCACCAAGTTGGACCTTCTCCCTTGCTGTGAATTATTTTTAAGTGGCTTTTATATCTTAGAGGTTTTTAAGCTTGTTCAGCATGTGAAATATCTCAGCACCCTAAATTCTTTCCAGGTGATCTATTTTAATTACATCATTTGTATTATGATTTAACTCAAAATGAAAACTCGTTTTAAGTTCTGAAGTGACAGATTTGGTTAAGTTTACACATTTTTAAGTGGTGTATGTAGCCATGAAAAGCTCAAGCTGTTAAACTATATCAGATTGCTTTTTATTAAGTTTCCCCATGAATGTGCAGTTGCCAACAGCAACTTGTCTGTTCCCCTTCCCTGATTCCCCAACGCTGTCCCCTCCCCCAATTCCCCAATAAAATCTTTAAAAAAAATATTGGGTTGTTGGAAAAGTCATGATGTATTTTGTCTATGTTTTTTAAGGTCA